TTCCCCAAACAGTTTACTGTTAGGGGTTCTCAATTCTTTCTTGAGATGTGTCCGCCCTTTGTGTCACTGCTGGTGTCCGCCCTTTTCCGCTGGCCATGTAGCATTTTTCCCCAAACAGTTTACTGTATTCACACTTGCATGTAGCTTGCGGGTGCAAGTTTTATGTTCACTGAAGTTCACAAAATGTTCCACCGGGACATTTTGGCTCAAGTTGGTGGCAATCATCCACAGGATTGCGCCTGAATTCTGGAGACAAACTCGCTAGTACATCGGTTCCTTTTGAACGCGACGCAATGGCGCACCCGATGGAAGAGGAGTACTCCATCATCGATGTACTCCATCATCGATGCCCCACCCTTGGCTTTGCCAGGTGATGATTGGGATTCGGCTACGGTCAGTAGCCTGGGCATTGAGAGCCTGGACCAGGCAGCTGATGCTGCGTCTACAGCCCTCCATCACTCCATCAAGATGACACTGGGCAGGGAGCGCAGGGAGGACCTCAACCATGGGACTGGGACGATCCGGTGACAGAGGTCTCACGTCGCTCCATGGCTGCTACCCCGCCCTTGGACGCGGACTCTCCACAACCGGACAAGGTCACCCCTGGCACTACTGATTCTTGGGATGTCGTGGACGGTGAAGACAATGGCTTGGGTCACTTCCTTGCCCAGGCCAGCGACCTGCCACAGGACGGCGATCAAGCTGACCAGAATGATTCCTACCAGGTGATCAGCTCCAACACGGGTACATATTCACACTTGCATGTAGCTTGCGGGCGCAAGTTTTATGTTCACTGAAGTTCACAAAATGTCCCACCGGGACATTTTGGCTCAAGTTGGTGGCAATCATCCACAGGATTGCACCACCCTGAAGCTTTGAAGGAGGCGCCTGAATTGCCAGAGCTGGAGGAGGAAACTGAAATGGTGACTGCGGGGGAGGCTGAAGGGGTGAATCGGGACCGTGGTGAGTCTGAAGACGGGGAGATTGCTAAATCCACGGAGGCCATGCACTTCCAGAACCTCACCGTCGTCGAAGTGATGCAGAGCAGGTCGGTTGGCTCCATCGTCCAGGCCTTGTCGAAGGTGTACGCGAAGTTCAAGTCGCTGGGGGTCCAGATTTTCCGCCTCCATAGCGATCGTGAGAAATCATTTTTGGCCAAACCAGTGCAGCGCTGGTGTCAAACTCGAAGCCTCCTACAAACCATGACAGGAGGAGATGATGCAAAGAGTAACGGCCGCGTTGAGTCCGAAGTCAACCAGATCAAGCGGCGCACTCGACTACTCCTACATGAAAGTGGGCTCCCTCATGGGTTCTGGGTGTGCGCATTGAGGCATGCTGCAGAGCACCGTCTTCGAGCTCAACTACATCGTCTGGGCGTGGTGACCCGCCCAATGGTGAGATTTGCTGCAACTATGTCTGTAAAGACGAAACGATGGCATCGTGCAGGCCAATTGAGCAATCCCTTTCGCAGCATGCAAATTCTGGGCCCAAGTCCCTTTATGTCCAACCGCTGGCTGGCAAGAGACCGTCGAGGCCTTGTTCAACACGTGAGGTCAGCCTGGGTTCAAGCTGAAGGCGCTGATCATGCCCACCATGAGTTACAATTGGCTGATGCAGAGGCCCTTCAACCTGTTCGACGTCGCCTTCATGGAAAACAACCACCAATGGCGGAGGGTCCTTTGGAAGGGGTGGTCGGGGCTTTGTACCAACCTGCGTTGACTGCGCTGCAGGTTGGGAGGGGGGATGACCTCCTTGGCTTTTGATTCTGAGCCTCTTGAATCTGAGCCACCGGATTCGAACTGTTTGGACTCGCTGGACTGGGGATGGGAAGATAGCCATGCAACTGGGGAAACCACATGTTTGCCGAGACCTTCCACCGGGACACCACCTACTACCAGAACGATGGCGGAGGACCATGGCGGAGGTAGGACGGAGGACCTTGGCGGAGGAAAGGCGGAGGACCAAATCCTAACCAGTGGTTGGGAGGAGCAGGAGAAACTGCACGAGCAGGAGCTGTTCGAGCACTGGTCACTGAAGAGATTGTGGTGTGATGAACTCAGAGAGGTCGCCGTGGGGGCGGAGGAGGGTCGTGAACAAGGAGAGTGGCTCCAATGGCTGGAAACGTCTGTGCGCGTGAAGGAAGCGGCCCTGGAAGCACAACATCAAGAGCTAGAAAATGCGTTGCGGGCAAAACTTTCCTCGGTGAATGAGCCCTATGCCACAACAGGAACGTTTTCGAGGCCGAGCTCAGTTCTCCAGACATATACAGTACCATTACAACAGGTGCGCCGTGAACTGGAGAAATGGAAGGAGCCGTTGTCTGAAGAGTATGTGTCCCTCACCTCCAAAACCCGAGCTCTCCGAACCACTACGGTTGAAGCCTTGAAGGACCACCCGAACTACGCCGAGATGGAAATAGCGCCGGCCATGGTTGTCCCCACGGTGAAGGCACCGTTTGGAAAGCATCGTGCGCGCATGGTCATCTGCGGTAACCGGGTGGAGTGGGCTGATCCTGACCAGGCATCAAAAGCAGCTCCACAGGATCATCATGATGATGGACGTGAAGTTCTTTTTGGGAACTATGCGGGCGGGGCGGACGCCACTTTGTTGCGGTGTCTTTTCCGCAAGGCCGCAAATGAAGCTTGGACCCGAGGGTCCATTGATGTGAAAACGGCATTTTTGCTGGCACCACGTCAGCGGGCAAGGGAATCACTACTTGTTGCACTCCCACCTCGTGTGCTCGTAGAAGCTGGAATTGTCACCGAGTCCGAACGCTGGATCATCGACAAAGCCATGTACGGCTTGGAATCCAGTCCTGCCGATTGGAGGATCTACCGGGACTCCATGCTCCAGAAGTTCAAGTGGAACCTCAATGGAGTTCGACATGAGTTGAGGCCTACGCCCGAGGGGAATCTCTGGCAGGTGATCGCATGCCCTACAAATGAAGTTGAATATGCTGCTGGCTATGTGGCGGTGTACGTGGACGACCTGCTGGCGGTGGGTCCGGATGATGTTGTCCGGAGTGTGCTCAAGCGCATCACGGAAGAATGGAAGTGCTCAGATCCTGAGTTTGTCCAAGAGGGACGATGGATGAAGTACTGCGGCTTTGAACTGTCGTGGGACAACGCCAAGAGCGAGCTGATCATCGGCCAGGAGGCCTACACCTTGGATTTGCTAAGTCGCCATGAGCCTGTAGCACACAAAGCCACACCTATGCCAGGAACACTATGTGATGAACCTGAAGAAAATCCAACTGCAGAGCAGATCAAGGCTGCTCAAGGGCTCGTCGGTGAATTGCTTTGGCTCTCAACGAGAACACGCCCTGATTTGTCCTTTGCAGTGGCCTGGCTTGGTCGGGGCACGGGCAAATATCCGGCTCGTGTTTGTGAATACGGTAAGCATGTTTTGGGCTATGCCACCAACACCTCCAATGTCTGTTTGAGATACGGAAAGTGTTCACCTGCTTTGGAGGAGGGGTCTGACTTGGCTTTCAAGAGCACCATGAAGAAGCTGGAGATTTTTTGTGATGTCTCTTTCGCCCCGCCGGGTGGACGAGGAGAACAGGGGGTCATTGTGCGATATGGTGGCGCTCCTGTACAATGGGAATCAAAGTTGCAACCTTTTGCCACCCTCTCCAGCTCAGAAACCGAGATTTGCGGCTACTTGGATGGTGTGGTAATGGGGGAATCCACCAGTGTCATTGTGAACATTTTGGAGCAGGGGATGCTGGATGATGAGTTGGGTGTTCTGTATGGGGACAGCCAAACTGGTTTGAAGATTTTGCAAGCCCCGGACGGTGCCTGGCGCACAAGGCATTTGAGGCTTCGGTGCTTCGCAATTCGCGAACGCGTCAACATGGGGCTGTGGAAGGTGAGACACTTGGCAGGTGCAAAGCTGGCTGCGGATTTGCTCACCAAGCCGGTGACGCAGCTGGGCGCCTGGCAGGCCTTCATGCTCTTCATGAACTTGCGCGCGGCCGCTTCGAAGGCAGCTGATGAGAGTCCTGAGACTCCGGGGGAGCGACGGTCCAAAGTGGCTGTGCTTGCAGGGGTGGTAGCCGGCTTAGCTGCTTGGAGACACTTGAAGCCTTGAGTAAATTGGCTCGGCTTGTAGGCATCGCCGCGGTAGTTGCTCGCTTAGCTAGCTGTTTGAGAGACCACAAAAGAGCCACTGGCCAACAAGATCCGCTGAGGGAAGATGAACCCGGCGGCATTTTCCAAGAAAAGAAAGTGAACGCAAGAGCCACTGGCCTACAAGATCCGTTGAGGGAAGATGAACCCAACGGCATTTTCCAATCACCTCAAGAGGTGAGAACTTCTAGCCTGCAAGGCTCCCGGATCGGCGCGCGCGCGTTGGGCCATGGAATGGGGGGAGCGCCGATGCGCCTGGCAGCCTTCCGATCGCCGCTGCCGCAGACTGGGCCGCCTTGGGAATGGTATTCATTCTCCCTACCACCTCAAGGGCGAGACAGGTGGGGACGGCTTGCTGATGGATGGTGGGTTCGCCACCATGTGAAACCAAGGGTTCGACCCTTTCATCCGCTTCATCGCCAAACGCTGGTTGAGGGCAGCCGCCTCCAGAACCTGAGGACAGTGGTGGTTTGGTGCCATGGCGAGAAGCAGGTGATCCAAGATGACTGGCGGGATGGGACTTCGCCAGTGATGCCTCCAAATGAGCCATGGGTTGGCTACACCTTTTTCCAAGAGATCACTCCGGCGGGGACCGGGGCGACTCAAGAGACTTTGACATCAGGGAGTTCTTCAACGCCCCAACCCGTGAGCTTGACTACCTCCTCGATGGGCAGCGGTTCGTCTGGTCCGCCGCCAATGCCGAGGCCCGCTGAACAGCTCACGGCGCAGCCGGTGCCAAGGCCCTTGCCGATCGAACAGCCTACAGTGCCGGAGTCAGAGGAGCTGCCAATTGATGCGAGCTATGCCCGAAGGGGCACCAATGAAACTATCAGTTCCTCGAGCACTCCCGGAGGGCCGCAGGGCTATGGGGGGGAAACTACAAGCTCCTCAACTTCGAGGAGATCTTCGGCGCAAGCTCGAGGCCTGCAAGCGATGGAGTACCTGAACCGGCTGGAAAGCCATGAGAGAAGGGGCGAGACGGAGCCAATCTATGAAGAGGGCTTCAACCAGGAGACCGGGGTTTACTGGTCTGAGGGGCCACAAGGCCATGACGGCATGACCCGGGACGAAGAAGAACGGGATGATTGGCTCTACGCCCTACGAATGGAGGGTCTGACGCAGCCGGGCGACAGGATGGCGGGATTGCTGCCGCCTGAGGCAGATCAGCTGCCTGTGTGGATGGGGGTGGGCACGCAAATGCCTCCACCACGTGCCCCAAGCCGAACAGCACGAGAAGAAGACCCAAACGATTCTGAGGGCAGCTTTGAAATTTTCTACTAAATGAAATGCTTTTGGAATGCGAAGCAGAAGAAAAAACCTGCTGAGCATAGCATGCACTCATACCTGCAACGCAGGTAGGGGGAGTGTGAATAGCTCGATCGAGACCGATCGCATGTTTCAGTTGACAAGCACAAACCAGTTGTGCACTCGCTCGATGGCTCAAGAAACAGGGACGACGTGCCGATCCCGACGTTTTTTCCACGTGACCTTCCTTAGATTAAAAAGGGCTGCGGGAGCTATGGTGAGACAAAGATTAACGAAATTAATAACTTTCCGAAGATGGCTTCATGTCTTTTTCGAGTGTCACCAAGCACGTCAGCCCAAGCTGTCTCGGTGGCTGCATGTTGACCTTCGGTTTCAAAGTGGAATCTACTATTGAAACTTGCCAGGCACCAGTGAACCAAGGCTAGTGAGCAGCTACCGCAGGAGAACATTCGTTGGCCTAAGCCAACCACAATTCTTTAATGTCGGATGCCAGAGTTGCGGGTAAGCTTGCTGGTTTTGAGTTGCATTTCGCATGCTGCTAGAGGAGTTTGACATTACTCCTTTGAAAGACCGCCAGAACAGGCTGAAAATCAGACCAGGGACACTGTGAAGAAAGCCTACGCCTTGTCATTTTGGAGCCGACATGTTGGATGATTGCTACTTGTACCCTTCCAGCCTTCCAGCCTCTCTTGTGCCAAGTTTTGTAATCCAAAAACCTGAGATGCGATTGGCAAGGCAGATTCTCCGCGATCAAGTTGAGTTTTTGTTTAAAAATAACGCTCCGAGACAGAAGGGAGAATGCAGGAAGAGAACACACCAGGAGTGGCGAGGGAAGGGGGTAGCAAGTAGAGTGGACACCCTGACGTTGGTAGAGGATTCCGAAGCAGAACATAACATATCGGCAAGAGAAACAAAGCGCTTTTACTCCATGGCAATGGCAGCTGTCTCCCCACGTGGCATATTTGTCAGCCCAGAAACTTCGTTGCCTACAGGCAGGTTTTCGGACGTGAACAGAGTGATGCTGATGTGCACTTTTACAAACACGATCAAGAAAAGGCTTTGCATTTTGGCAGGTAGAGTGCATGTATCGGTCAAAGCAAGAAAGCTCCTTACAGCGAACAGCGCACGCGCGTTTGGCCTTCTTTGTGTGGCCACCTTCAGCAAATCCAGAAGGCTTCCGCACTGCAGCTGCAAAGCTGGAAGGGCATTAGCCCCACACAGGAGTGTGCAGATAGATCAAGATGGAAGGCACGTGGGAGAGGTATCATCTTATTCAGAGCTTCGGCGCATTGCTGTTCGTGAAACTCTTGCCATGTGGAGGCATTGGGAGGCGGCTGTGTCGAGGATAGGGCCACGGCTTCCAGAGACCATAAAAAGTATTGATGAAGCGTGGCGAACTGGTGCCGGGCTACTCAGAGTTGCATGCTTTGAGGCCCACCGCAGTTGGTTTCCTCATGTGCCTGTCACTGTAGCTTTTGCTCAACCAAGCAGGCAAGCTCCATCACACAGATCGCAGTGGCTGGAGAGAATCTGTGTTTTGGCACCGGCTCTGGCAGAATCCGTGTTGTAGATATACGGAGTGGAGCAAGGGTGGGAGAGAGCCTTGGTATTGACTTGTAATCTGTGCTTTCAGCTGAAGTCTCTGACGACAGACTGACGACAGATCCCAATAGGCAGACCGGCCACTTCTCAGGTATTTCATCGGTTCACATTTGCCATCTGCAGTAACCGCACTGCACTTTAGCCACAATATGGTCATAGCTGGAGACTCTGCTGGAGGTTTATATGCTTGGCGATCTGAGTTTCCAGGTAGCTCCATTGCTGCAATGTGGAGAAAATTGGAATGGCAAGCCATGCCTTTTGGCTAACAGCTGCACCTTGCCATTGGAAATGCTTTCCCGTTCTCGCCTAAGGTTGGGGTTATACCCCTGCTCCTGACCTGACTTTTGTTGCAGTTGGCCACAGAGCACACAATGGTGCAATTGCAGGCAAGTACTTGCTGTGCCGTTTTTTATTGATATAATTCAACTTGCAAATTGTTGTTCTTTTCCATTATGAGTTTTAGGCTTGCTTTGCTTTGGCGATCTTTTGATCAGCTGTGGTGGAAACTCCGTATGCCTTTGGCATTTGGAGAAGGAGGACCTGCATGGTTACACCCACAAAGGCAACTGGACCAGAGGCATTGCTATTTGAGAGCCTATTGTGATTGTTGCGCGATTTTTGCGGTGCCAACACGAGAAATCAGAAATCAGAACCTCATGGCCGAATGACACAAATAATGTCTACAACTTCAGCATTGGCCAAGGCATCACTTCTCCAAAAACGCGGACACTGTGCTTCACGTTTATGGTTTGGTGCTAAACTTTGAACAATAGAAATACATAGGCATAGGACAAAACGTCAGTGGTGCTCGATTCCATGACTTGCTGGTGATTGTAGGCTGAAAACTGTCGAGTAATACACTACTCAAGCTTCATATTATGAGGGTAGATTGTCGTTTGGCTGAAGGGATAAACCACTGCGCCTCATTTGGCTGGCCATGGTTTCTCTGGGGCCTGTGCACTGGCCTTTGCTTTGGACTTTGCATGGGTTTGGGCATTCCTGGTGCGTTTTGTCCATTCTTCTTCGCCGGCTCCTCCTGGGCCTGCCTGGTCTTGGGAGGCTTCCTTGCCTGTGGCTGTTCGGGTGACTGACGGCCTGGGACGGCCTATTTGGCCCTCCTTCCCATTTGCCCTCCCACTCTTAGGGTCTCACCTTCTGCGGGCTTCTTTGATGGAGGACTGAGGGCAGTGGCTTGATATGCGCAGGCTGAAGAAGAGGATCTTCATCAACGGCTTTGTCTTTCTCGCTAAGGAGGCTTGCCGCTTTAAATTTTCCCGAAGCTGAATGTCGCCAGCGATCGGACTGATTGCTGTGGGAGCTTCACGTGGGTCCGTGGGCGGGGCCGTGGGGAAATGGAAGTGTGAAGCCGCCAACAAACGCTGGCGAGGCGCGCAGCGGTTCCTTTTCGGAGGCAACACGCACTTGGGCGCAAGTGGCCAGGGTCCCGGAGGATGTGAGGAGAGAAATACTAGGGTGGTAGCAAGCGGGCCTGTCTTGTCGGAGATGGCAAGCTCAGATGAAGGAGGCGCAGGGTGAGAAGCCAGACCGCATGACGGAGAATGTGGCGTGACATGAATGCGTCAATTTTGCGTGAACTGTGCAAATGCTTGATTGCACAGACACCATTGCCGGCCGCCATCCTCCGAAGATATTGGAAGAGAATCACGCACGGCCCTGGGGGATGCAGGGGACATGCGGCCTTTGGAGCGGTCAGCGCAGCCTGCTGTTTTGGAAGAGCGAGCGCAGTTGTGGAACATGGAACTGCCGCATCTGGTTGGCACCGCTGGACAAGAAAACGCGTAAGAAGATTATGACGCCGCGGTTCTTCGCCTACGCGATCATCGCCGTGGAGCATGCTTTTGATCTTGCGGATCTTGCGGCGCTCGATATCTTGCTAGAGCGCTGCAAGGGGCAAAAATCAGAGCCCAAATGATTTGACAGATCATCTTTTCGATGGTGTCGATGAAATGAACAAGCTGACGTGAACATTCGAGGCGCTCTTCATGGTCACGGCGTGGGCAATCTCTTCAAAGGCGGGAGAACCTGATGAGGACCTCCCTAAGCCAAGCTCTATATATAAGGCATCAGGCCAGGGGGAAACCTGGTTGCGTTGAGGACAGGGAGTAGAAGGCCAAGAAAGGTGAGCTTCGTTGGAAAGATCCTTGGTTGGTTAGCGCAGGCTTTGCTTCATCTAAAGCAGGGGAAAGAGCGTCGGCAAGGACATGCGCTGCAACGCAAAACTTTTGTTGGATAGCGAGCGGGAGTGGGGTCAAAACACAGTCGTCGCATGCAATTCGACACTGGCACAGTAAGTAAGCAAGGTGCAGCAACTTCACACCGAAGGATTCGCGCAATCTTGCAAAAGGTTTCAGCGTGCGCGCGCGCGCGCGCGACCGCCCGAATCATAAAAGGGAGCCTTGCGGCTTTTCAAACGAAATTTACCACCACACAACCCCGTGGAAAGCGTTGCCAGCGAAGACCTCTCCATCGCGTCGCGATATGACTTGCGGAAGCTGCGTTCTGACCTCCATTCCTTACTGGGCACTGTTCCTAAAGAGGCCAAGATGCCCAGCTGTTGCGCCGTTTGTGCATTTGGCCGCCTTGCAAATTATCTGGTTTATTGAGGCGATTCTTCACCTAGGCTTCCGTGTGGCATGTGGCATTCAGACCGTACGTACGTTATCCCGAACGTATGTGTGTGTGAGGGGGGCAGCCTCTTGCATCACTAGACAATCAGAGCTCAGACGACAGTGTAAAAGAAGCAGGGTGGGCAAGAGGTTAGAATCTGGCTTCAGTGTTTCTTTGCAATTAAGGTACTGCGGACTTCAAGTCACCGCCACTATGCTTGTCCAAAGCTGAAAGTGATGCTGTCTACCTAGGGCTGGAGGACATCATGCAACGTGTTGGCTTAAACAAGTTTGCAACTTGCAGCTCCAAAAGGGGTTTAACCCGACATTGCAATGCAAAAACCAAACATGGCGTTGAGACATTCGCCAGGACGGTTCCGTCTGGAAGTTTGAGTGTTCTGATATGTCAAAGTCTAGTGTCTTGCCTCCATCAGAAGCCGGTGCCGTCACAGCAGTGGTGCCTCGGTTGGATCTGGAACCTCAGGTTTCACAAGTTCACAAGTTTCAAAGATTTGTATTGTTTAGACTCTAGGCTTATCAATCTGGCACCTTGGTCGTTGGCTATCAAAACGGCGAGGCGGGGACCGTGCAACATAGTAGGGCGCGTCTTAAGATGCGTTAAAGGTGAAGATCCTCCGAAACTCCAAGCCACACACAGCAGAAGCGTTCCACAGAGGTCGTGTGCCACTCGTCGGAGAGGTTCTTGATGTTTTGGATCGCCTTTGGTTGGGCCTTAACCTTTGCACATTCGCACTTGTTGCAGTATCCGTGAAACTTAGGCGACATCTGCAGTTTCTTCCTCGACACAAAGCATCGGAAACCTTGTTTTTGAGCGCCGCTTGTGATGGAAGAGTTTGTGCCTGGAGTGATTCTGGCACAGCTTTATGGGGTATTCGTGGGCTACGTTCGGGCCTTGGCAAGAGAGCGGAGGATTCGGACTTGGACCGCTTGCCTTTGGACAACGTTTCCCTGGCTGCTGACAGCGAACGGCTCTTCTTCAGTGGCCTTGTCGTTAACCCAGTCACTCCAGGCCAGAGAGTCATTGACTTTGGCAAAACAATTGGCTTGAAAAATCATGGTTTGTTTGCAGCTGCAGTTTTGGGACATGGTCCATGGTCATGCCGCTGCCACTTGCGTCTTCTTTCTTGTTTGATGACGGGGTTCAAAGCTCGCTACTTCTTTTGTTGATCTGTTTGCCAGAGGCAATACCGTCTTTGAAAGCGACTGGCGGCAGTCGAGATCCAACCACAACGAGGCCTGGACACGTTGCTCGACACGGGAATTGGACTGGAATTGGGCTGGTTGAAGCGGTCACCATGACAATGTGGTGGCGGTGATGGTGATGTTGCTGGACAAGGTGATGAAGGGGCAAAATCACCCAGTAGTTGACAACCAACATATCGATCGAGTTAGGCTTTGTTGCGGCTTGTGGATCAATACGTGCAAACAAGGTTAAGCCCATGCACTTGAACGCATGACAACCTTTTCCAACACACTTTTTTGCGAAACTCTTCTAAATCACTCTTGAAGGCACTATTGCGGGACACTCTTGCGAGACTCTTCTACTCTTGTGTGGTACTTTTTGTGTGGCAGCTTGTAGAACACCCTTACTTGTAGCAGACACTCTTGTAGGACACTCTTGCTTGATCACTCTTCTAGTGCATTCTTTTGTGATATTCTTGCAAGACACTCTTGTGAGACACTCTTGTGGTGCACTCTTGCGCAACACCTGTCTAGAACACTAGCTTGCCCTGTGTGACGCTCTTGCAGTTCACACTTCTGGGGCACACTCTTGCGCGAGATTTGCTCCTAGAGTGAAGCTGGGAAGTCTCAACGACGAGCGCTTCGCGCGACGCTTCCTGGCCAGGGATGTACACCGTGCGCTTCGTACAAGACCTGTTCCACAAATACATCGCAGCCCTGCCACGGCATGACGCAGCGCGAGCCCTTCCACAAATCCTAATTAATGATTGCAGCGCCCCACTGTCACCAAACGTCGCGACCTCACAACTCATAGCGCCTGCCGTGAAACTATATATATATATAGTCACCCTTTTAGTCTAAGCCGTCACCCAGTGATTTGTGAACTCATGGAGGCTAAAGGCAGAAAATGCAAAAACACAAACATTGTTGTTGCACAAAAAGTGCCGGCTACCCTAGCTGTAGCCCATTTTAGGGGGTCTAGCTCAGCATATTTTGGACCACAAGGCTAACTCTATCCTCATTCAGTGTGCAATTTGCTTCATCTGTCTCCGCAGGCAAATATAGAAGTACACTGACATAGTCCAGCCATAGAAGTACACTGCTATAGAGTTTGAAGCATATATATATATAAACACTAGCTGGATAGAGTTGAGCTATAGAGTTTGCACATAAACAACACAAACACTTCAGGGGCTGTGGCATAAACATGTCCTGTATGAACACGTCATCATGGGATCGAGATGTAGCGAGAAAAGAGTGCATGCGGTCAACTCTATGCGTTTGAGGATTTTCATTCAGATTGCATGCTGGTGTTAATTTTTCTGAGTGGACAACTCTATTACCAATCAATTGACTCATTTTTTGGAAACTCAGCTAACTCTGAAAGGGCGGCTATATATATATATATCTTCGTTCCCAATATCCTCAACACGTGCAAAGCATTGCCTCTGCCACGAAAAGTGACATTTCCACACCCTTGTGTATACAGGAAAGTGCACAGCGCTTTTGGAATGTTTTTGACACGCCTCCCAGCACCAGCCTGGAAACCGGACAGCCGCGAGGAAGCAAATTGGCGACCTCACAAAACGCTGCGCCTGCGCATCGCCCGTCCCATAGCGCCTGCAAAGTGTGTTCCTATAAACGCGCTCGCACCGATACACGGATAATTACACACACCGTTAGGTTTAGAGTTTAGGGTATCGACTGGCGTATCGTCGTAGTTGCGTAGAGCGCAACGCGTCCAACACTAAACAACGGAAAGGTGTAATCGCACAAACTGACACTAAAGGACACAGTTCGTAAGCGCACTCGCGCACGGCATTGCGAGCGGTTGACGACATGTCGAACGAACCGACCTCACCCTCAGACCCGCGAGGTTATGTTGAGAACCTTTCGCTACGCGCTCGAAGAAGACATGTCAAGGATGTTTCAGTCTGCAATACCAAAATATATCGAACACAATAGACATGGTCTTTGGGGAGATGGACATGGGGTGTGCTCCTCTGATAAAGATCCTTTCAGGTGGCACCTGCGTGCGAGGGCGTTCTGTGCATGGATATGGCCCGGTGAAAAAGCTTTGCGTTGTGGGATTTGCTTTGATATCAGCTTTGCAGGCTTCGATTCTTCATGATGTTTCACTGCACCTCGTTTTTGTGCAGCGTCAAGCTTGTTAATTATATAGATTTTGCTTGAGGTTTGTTAGTTCTTATCGGAATCGCTTCAATGCCGCCAGTTGCTTTGATCAGATGTTGCCAAGATTGAGAACAGCATCGGAAATTGCTGTTGCATGTCAGCCTATTGTCATGGTGAGACAATTCTTGTGCCCCATCCCCTTTGAGCAGGGTGCATCAATTAGATGCCTTTCGCAGGACAAGGGGCGTACATGTCAACATCACAGCTACAAAAAGCATTTAGACACCCTCGATTCTGCTCTGGCAAGAGGTCTGGCACTCAGACTCGGATACCTCGTGTTTGAAATTACAAAGGCTTCGCATTCCTCCCCCGAACAAAAGCTTTCGGTTGTCCTCCGCGCGTCTATGTGATGATTCCTTGTCCAAGTGCCGTCGAGAATGTAAGCCACTTGCCTCGCCAAAACAGTTAAATCTCTTGGCATTATGTCCGGCTGGCAGCTTAATATGTAGCGCAAGCCTGCATGTATCTCATACAGATACAGAATGGTCATTCATATGCTTCTGTGCGCCTGCGAGGTGGTATAGTTCCTGCTTCCAGGTGTCTTTTCTGCCTGCAAAGTACATCACCTTGTATCCTTGTGGTTGTGGTGATGCTCTCCTGTGTAACAAAGTTTGGCTTGAAAGTTTGGTTTCTTTGCTTTGCCTTTTTCTCAGTTTGAACTTTGCATGCTTTTCATTGCGTTCAGGGTATCGACTAATTACCCATCCCAGTTTTTGTGTGATCTCATTGAGCTTGCGCCTGACGCCCCCAACCCATGGACCGGACATGCGACCACTTCGTCCGTTGCGTCTTGAGCTCTGAGCAGTTGCATGCCATCCACCGCACGGAATTGAGCTCGCAAGGAAAAGACTTACTGTAGGTACCCATGGTTAGTTGATCCCCGGTCGTCGGCAAATAGTGTGCATATTGACAGTGGCTGTGCGTTGTTGACATTAAGCAGCAGGTTGTTGGTTGAGCTTGGTCGCATGGCAGGCTACCCAAATGAGTGGATTTTTTCGGCTCTCAGCCCAGGTGATGCTCATTGATGCGCAGAGACAAATCCGACCTGGTGATCAGGCAGCTAGGGGCCCAGAAAGTCCAAACATGTTTGTCACGAAGAAGTTCTGCGAGAACGTCCCAACCTCTACAAAGGAGTTGCACGTTTACCTTCCTAAGCACGGGGTGTGGGATGAATGGTCTCGGGGCAATCTTGGCAGCTCGTGCTGGTCATAGTCATAGAGGATCGGTGTGTGTGTGTGTGTGTGTCCAACCCTGGACAAAGGGTCTTCCACCACCACTCTTTCCACTTTACATGGGCAGGGGGACACGGCGCCAGATTGCAGACCGTGTCTAACAAAGCTATGCAATCTGGTGGGATATCCAGCTTGGCCAGCTGGACGTACCTGCTCGTTCTTTCACAAGCTGTTACACCACTCTTCCGCGTTTTGCTTCATGGTCCTTCATGTTTCCACCCCCAAACCTCAGTTTTGCAGCTGACTTGAGCCGTCAGTTCACCACCGCCGATATGCAGCCGAGTCAAGCGAAACAATCGATGTTCAAACACTTCCAAGTTGTCGGACTTTTCGCCATGCTGTTCTATCGCCTTCCTTCCCAATGTGGCAATTGCGTTAACTGAAAACCCAAGTTCGAAGTGTGTCCCGCTCAGCCGTCCCACTCGGGTGCTGAGTGTGATCCCCGTCACAGGGGCGCCGATCTTGCATGGGAAAGCAACCACCCCAACGCACCACCACTCACTGGACTCTCACAGGAAGGCACCGACACCCTCACCGAATCAACTGACATACCGGCCGCCGGGCCAAAAAACGGTCCTTGAAGAATACATCGGATTTCAGCTTTCAGATTTTGGATCCGTCATTTCATTTCATTTCTTCAAGTCATGTGCGTGTTTCCACGTTTTGCCATATTGATGCCGTGATTCTTTCATCGACAGAACTCAAGGATGGGCATTAGAGCTCTTCAGTTTAATTCGAGATGCATGAACACACACCTACCAACAAGCTCACATCTAGCACCACCTTACAACATACTCTCCATCGACACCAGAGATGACACCTTCAACAACAACAAGACAATACAACTCGGCACTTCTCCGCTGCCTTTTTGCTGCCGCGCCGCGCCGTGCCATAGCTACGATCACGACATGCATTTTCCGTGGCCCTACGCTCACGCCACGCCACCACCATTACCTACCACACAACCTCAACCCACATGGCCGCTGCCACAGCCATCAACTGCACCCACCTTTCCCACGACACAACCATCGGCATACCCTCACCCACAACCACAACCATTTCAACCACCACCTTTTTTGTCCAACCCTACCGCCACTGCACTGACCTACGGCACACCATCCACTTGGACGTTTGTGCAACCATGTCACGTGCCACCGCAGCCCACACATCCAACTCCAGTTTTTCCGACAGCAGCACCTCCCCCTTCATACCTGTTGCCACCACATCATCCCACACCACCGGCTGAACTTCCTCCCCCCACTACACTGACACATCCCCCTCCAACACAGCAACAGACTGCGATTGCCAATCATCCATCCACAGACCCCCAATGCACCATCCCCCAGGGCGTTTGGCAACCCTATTCAGCTTTTCCCCCAGTCACACAGCCTCCACTCCAACCATTGCCCCCGCCACCACCTCCACAAACCATCAACACCTCACCACCAGTCCAACCTCCACTCCAACACCAGACACCATCGGATCCAGCACCACCAATCCAACCCATCCCCACAACTGCCACGGACGCTCCATTGCCGGTCCAAAACACGACCCCTCCAGCTACCGTATCACAACACTCTGCATCACCATCGCTAGTATCAGCCACACCAGCACCCGGACCTTCACTACCTGCGCCAGACAAGCTTGACACCACTGTCTCACCAGCACCACAACCACCTTCCCGCAACCACCACACAGCAGTCGCCGCCACCACCACAAGAACCGACACAAGTCCGACCATCACCGCAGAGGACGCCACCGCCACCGCCGCCGACATCGACATCACCGCCACTCCAAACATCACAGCACAACCCGGCGACGGCGTTCGCCTTCGACATCCACTTACACATCCAGCCTTACGCCATCCCGCAGTCGCTCACCACCACAACCCATCGATTTACGCCCCAACACTGAACACACCAACCCAGATCCCTCTCAATTTCCCACCACAGCCGTCCTCCGTCGCCCAATCAACCGTTGGCGACCTCCACCCAACTTTCACACCTTTACACCTGCAGACCAAATCCTGGAATGGCTCGAATTCCACGCCACCCAACTCGACAATCCCAACCGACCACAACACCAGTACATTGCCAATCTCCTCACAGACTGCAACATCACCTACAAGGAGATCACCGATTTCCGGCAATATACTCACGTCAAGTGGAACGACACAACTCACCAATACGACCAATTCCAGTACTACGCCATTTCACTTCCTTTCCTCAACACCAAAGCCACTACACCAGAACCGCCTGCGGTTTCCCGAGCCACATCAACCCACCGGGAAGTCGCCCACATCAACGCAGGCCACACAGGCCCTGTCGGCAACATTTCCAACATTCTACGCCAAGGCCGGTTTTTACCCAGCACACTCCATTTTGCCAACTACCCTGGATTTTTTGCCCAGGGCGTTCGCATCACCCACAACCAACCCCATGACCACAGCGAATTTGCCCGCATCATCCACAACACCTGGCAACTCCACAAGAACTCCCATTCCCTTATCATCACACTCCTTGCTTGGGGCGCTGCCACAAAATACACCTCCGGAGGTGAGGAACACGCCATGAACCTCCTTAACGATCACCATGGTGCAGTCTTCCATCAGAAGGGCCGCTGCTGGGTGATCCACCCGGACCACGCCATTGTCAAAGGACTGGCCTGGTCCACAAATTCCACTCCACCTGACACATAACACCATTGCCCCACACCTACACACCACTACCGCCTCCACATCCACCTTTGGTCTCACACCACCACCTAACCTTTGCTCGTAGCAGCCAAAAAGAGTCTCCTGCAGCGGCCACGCGAATTTTGAACCCTCAATTTTTCAAGCTCTGCAATTTTTGCTGTACACATCTTTCTTCGAATTGTACCGGCTGTTTTGATGGAGTGTTTCACATGTCAGAGTCTCATGTACTTGACTGTCCAACCGGCGTTGCATTTTCGTACTTTGCCTGTGGGAATTTGATGCTCGCTTAATTCATATGCACGGCCTCGTGATGACGCGCTCCCTCAGACTCGCCGCTGTCCGGCTGCTTTGGCGCGCTGCTGCAGCAACCCGTGACGATTCTGTGCTACTGTACATCCCTACATCTCCGAATCATGAGCAGCACACCGACACCTCTACACAACGACACCTCAACCCTCATACACAGAACCACAGTGGTACTTTCGCAGGTGCAAAACCTGCTCAGACAAGCAACAGATATTGTAGCACACCTCCACACTCATTTCCTCCACCACATCCACCAAGCGGATCCCACTTTCCGCCAACACTTTCAGCCACTTCCAACTCCGCCCAACCACCCTATACGTTTACCATCCACCACCTCCTCCTGTGACTCAGCACCATCCAGACCACCCATCCGTTTACCAGCACCAACCTCAAAAGACTCAGACGACGCCCCAACAACACCCCCAGATCCACAACCCACTACAACACGCAAGCGGAAGCAACCACTCCCACCACCACTGAACCAACAGGCGGACTGGGATGCTTGGGACGGCGACGCCGACTGCCGCCTGGTCGAACTCAAAGAAAACCCCAGACTTCGTCCCAACTGGACCACAGTGGCCCGCCGAGTGGGCTTCTCCGTCGAGCAATGCCAAGCCCGATGGCAAGAACTCAAAGACATGCAACGTCAGCAGGACCAACAACTCTCCTCCACACCACTACCAACAGAACCACCAAGACAAGCACCTTCCCCATCACCAACACCCACATCACCAGCAGTTTCCCCAGCACCACATTCACAACCGGATTTCTCCCCTTCCCCCATAACAACGCCACCGGCTTCACCACATCGAACGCCTCCTGCTGCTGTGCTGCTGACGCCGGCCGCTGAGCGAGAACTTAGTGAGAACAGTCATCCGGAGAAATCTCCACTTACGCCCGTTGGCAGTTATTTCATTTGACCCGTTTCACCCACCTCTCTCTACGGCGTGCCGCAGGACAAATCCACTGACGCGCACTGACATTTAGTTTTTCACGCCCAGTCTACTTTCACCAGGTTGCCCAACTTCGATTTTCAGTTTTCAGGCTCACTTCAGCTCCGCAGCCTTTTGTGCGCCATTTTACTGCACCATTTGTCATGGCCAATCCTCGCGCTCGCCCTCACAACAACACCGCCGACGCAGAACACTACCTCCCACAGCGCCCTCCGAGCTGGCTCCAGCCTTCGATTGGCACTCAGCCTGACTTTCAATCCCTCAACAGCTCTTTGGACCTTCTTTTTCTGGTCAACCAACACCTCCGCCATCACCCATTTCACACTGAACCTATGCCAAGCCAGACCTATTTTCAAGACCAGAGAGCATACAACCTCCTCTACCGAATGCGCGGTGACCTGATCTTGTTGGACCGCCTGATTGATAACCTCTCCCAAGCTCGTCGGCTCCTTCAATTTGTTACCACCGGCCCAGGGCTCCCAGGACAATACCGCATCAACCCCACAGCCTCACACTCCAGCAGAAACCTGGCCATTCTACACGACATACCGCCAGGTTTCCCACTACCACCCGGACTTTCCAGCCGTTCACCCTCTCCCTCACCACGTACCCCACCACAAGACGCAGAACGTCTACACTCGTACTGGACAGGTCCCCCACCACAAGCTACCCCAGCCACCAACATCAACACTACCACTCACACTAGGGAACGTTCACGGTCCCGCGACAACCTCCCACACCGCAGTGGCTAATCACAACATCGAGCGCCGCAGCAACATCCAAACTCAGGCTCTACGGCAGCCGCTACGCAGCTTGCCAACTCTGAGACGGCATCCCTGCCCACGGCTGCGGCTACATTTTGTTTTTCAAGTC